TGTATTTTGTATTTTTTTTTTTTTTAAAGGTGGTCCCTTTTTTATATTGGAAATGTTAACCTCTCACCCCTCATTTGTTCTTCACTAGAAGTATGTAATGTAGGCCTATGCAAAACACCATCCAGATAATTGTTTTCATTTATGGTATGCTCAAAGAATGTATCTTTTTATCACAGGTACTTCAAGATTTGATTGGTAATATTAGCGAAGGTTTTGTTCACTGACTGTTTCTGATATCAGATGACTCTCCAACCATTAGGCCACAACTGCCCCCCTTTGTTTCTTCACAAGAAGTAGGGTCAGTTGTAGCCTGATGGTTAGTGAGTTGGACTTGTAACCCAAAGTTCGGGGGTTCAAGTCTCAGTACCAGCAGCAATTGGTGGGGGGAGTGAATGTACAGCGCTCTCCTCTACCTTCAGTAAATACGACTGAGGTCCTTGAGCAAGGCATCAAACCCAGGGCGCTTTGTTCCAAGTTCACTTTCTTCACCAGTACAGTAATTTCACTTTTTTAACATTCTGCTTCTATATCTGCAAGAACTTTGTGGCTGAAGGACATGTCGGATTGTCATCACGATCTAAATCAGATTGTAATTTTTCAAAGATCAGTTCTCATCAGCAGCGTTTGCAGCGTTTTATTTTTGGTATTTTATGCCTTTATTTCAATAGGACTGTAAGTGGACAGGAAGCGAAGTGGGAGAGAGATAGGGGGACAGGATCGGGAAAGGTCTGCAAGCCGGGACTCAAACTCGGGATGCCTGAAGCTCAACATTATACATGGTCTAACATCACTCTTCCGTGTTCTCGTTTTTTAACCTAATTCACAGTTTACTAATGGTCTTGTGTAATTATTAATTACATGCTGTTATGGTCATTAAGACAGAATTTAAATTTTGTTGAGCACACCCCAAATGTAGTCCAATCTCAGCAAAATTTGGTTTGTTTCCATTTCTCATGAAGGAAGTTGACTGGGCGGGTGAGAGCAGAAGATTTCAAAACTCCAAAAATAAGGGCCACCCTGATAGATATATAGAGTGTTGCAAAACTATTACCTTTTTACCACAACAAGAATAGCAATATACAGTGAGAGAATTACAAGATTTACCATTACTTTTAAAAATGATTGCAACTGCATTTAAATAATATTTTAACATGAAAAATAATTTTTTTTTATGTTCATCCATTAGTCTGCATTTACACTGCTTAATGATAATCTTTTTAAAAAATTATATTTTTCTCCCGTTTGAAAATGAATCCCACATTTATGTGAGGGATGAGAGATTTATATACTCTGGAAACTTTGCTGCTTGTAAAGGGTAGGCCTATATATGGCTGTTAGCAGCAAGAAAAACAAAACTTTTATTCAAATTCTGAACGGATTATATTTAGCCTACAAAGTGTGCAAATAGCCCTTCCTTTATAATCACTAAAAAAGGTGTCACTTACTTCAGTTCATTGCAATCTCACAACGTTCCTTAATAATCAATGAACCTCTTATTTACATTGTGTTACAATGAGAAGATTTGAGAGCGTGCAGAACAAAATCTGGCATTTAACCGTGAATGAAGTTTGACTTATTCAAACAGAATGGCCAGTCAGAGGTGTTCAAGAATCAACAGATATGTCTGAGATTGGCTACATTGCTCAATGCTAGAAAAACATGTTTTAAATACAAACTTGATGTTCTCCAGAGTACAAATGGAGCATTTACCAAATCAGTTGGCCAATATCCTTTTATTACATTTTCAACTTAGGCTGCTTTTGCGTGAGAAAATAGACATGTGGCGTGAGAAATTTGTCAATTGTGTGAGTCTTACACTGCATGAGAGTTGGCAGCCCTGCTGCACTTTTTGCAACATACACCAATGAAATACTGATGAGTTTACCACAATGTTGTGTAGAGAAGACGTCAAGTTGTGAGCAGCAAATGGGCAGGAATGGAAAAAACACCCTTCAACCACACGCTACTGACACAGGCACATCTTTCACACATCAGACACACGCTCACAGACTGAAATCAACCACAAACATCCAGCAGTAGATGCTAATTCAGAAGCTGTTTATCCACTCATCAAATCAACCCACATTTATGTACAGAGGTAAATAAATAATAAAATAGACAACACCTTTTGATGAGGCATCTGTGTTTGTATTTACACGTATGGTATGGTCATTTCATGCCAACATTTAAGTCAAACATTGAAAACGTTCCAATATGGGCCATACAATATAGATAATTCTTAGGAGGCCATTTCATTATTCCGTCTTTAAGCACGTCAAACCCCTAAGCATCCTATGATTTCCTCTCGGCTGAACCTGGTATTTAGAACAGCAATGAAAAAAACACCCTTCAACCACACGCTACTGACACAGGCACATCTTTCACATATCAGTCACACGCTCACAAACTGAAATCAACCACAAACGTCCAGCAGTAGATGCTAATTCAGAAGCTGTTTATCCACTCATCAAATCAACCCACATTTATGTACAGAGGTAAATAAATAATAAAATAGACAACACCTTTTGATGAGGCATCTGTGTTTGTATTTACACGTATGGTATGGTCATTTCATGCCAACTTTTAAGTCAAACATTGAAAACGTTCCAATATGGGCCATACAATATAGATAATTCTTAGGAGGCCATTTCATTATTCCATCTTTAAGCTCGTCAAACCCCTCAGAATCCTATGATTTCCTCTTGACTGAACCTGGTATTTAGAAAAGGTTAAAGTTGGGTCATCTCATGGTGATAGTTCCATACTCTACGTGATCCTCCTGTTTAACTTTCTGTAAGAAATGTATAACAAATTTAAAAATAACATGTGGCAAGTTCATTCTGAACATCACTGAAATTCAATGTGATTAGCATTTTTATTTAGGAAAAAAATTCCCTCTTTATTCCCTCTTTACTGTCAAATTAACATGAAGCAGCTTTGGTGTTTGGTGAACAACACACAATTTATTCTGAATCTGCCTTATAGGTTTCATTTAGAATTCAAAGTTTGAAATCAAGTGGCCTTGCGTGGCTTTAGACTATTTTACAAGGAAAAGCAGTGATGTCAAAAACTGACTTTAGTAGCATCAGTGGCTCATGTTGAGCAGTTGAAATATAAACAAATGTCCTATAAACAACATGAGTATTATGGGATATTTGTCATTGTTTCAATGTTCTTATGGCCATTATAAATATGTGATATTGTACTGTTGTGTAATGTGATGAATGTGATAAGTCATTATACAGACAAAACATAAGCGCACACAGATCTGATGTGCTGAAATGATACAGAGAGATATAAATTATCTTACCAATTTATATGTGTTTCTTTTGTAGAACGTTGGCTCAGCATAAGTGATCTGTTCTTCAGGAGTCTCAACTGTGTGAACAATAAAATATTTGTTAAAACAACAAACTCAATATTTACTCAATCTGTTTCTTTACAACATATGATTTATCATTAAGACTATCAAAGTTAAAGCATTAATACAGCATTAGCAAATTTAATTTGATGCTATAAGTGTTCACACACACACACACACACACACACACACACACACACATTTAATGTTTACCATTAAATTTAGATTGACAATCTTTACACATAATTTATAAATCAAACCGAGACAGAATGCTAGAGTAATTTGGATTCTTTGTATGGTCAAATTTAAACATCACTGAAGCTCAACATGTTCAACAAGTCATCGTTCATAGAGATTTTAAATATGGACATGTAATCTGATTTGGTGTTTGACAATTTCTGTAGATTACACTCATAACTACACATTATTATTATTAGTTTTTTTTTTTCATTAAATAAACTTGAGGGCATTAACTACAGAAATTATCAAAATGAATTAATGATAATTAGGGCTATCGACTGGTAAAATATTTAGAGTACATTTTCAAAGTAGTATTTATTGGTTAAAATGTATCTTGCCTTCTTGATCAGTTTTGCTGTGTTTCCTGCAGATGCAGAAGATCCCGACTGCAGCTACAATCAACAGAGATCCAGCAGCAGCAGAGATCAGCACTATCAGAGGTATGGAACCTTCTGGAGGACCTGAAGGAATATGTGCTGTGATGATGAAGAGAAACATTAATGTAAACAATAAACACACATATCAGTGCTGCCATACCTGAACATGTGTGACAGAGTTGACTGATGTCCAGATGTGTGGTCTGGTTGCTGATGGGATTGTTGAGCACACAGCTGTACAGCATACGTGATCTGTTCTTCAGGAGTCTCAACTGTGTGAACAATAAAAGATTTGTTAAAACAACAAACTCAATATTTACTCAATCTGTTTCTTTACAACATATGATTTATCATTAAGACTATCAAAGTTAAAGCATTAATACAGCATTAGCAAATTTAATTTGATGCTATAAGTGTTCACACACACACACACACACACACACACACACACACACATTTAATGTTTACCATTAAATTTAGATTGACAATCTTTACACATAATTTATAAATCAAACCGAGACAGAATGCTAGAGTAATTTGGATTCTTTGTATGGTCAAATTTAAACATCATTGAAGCTCAACATGTTCAACAAGTCATCGTTCATAGAGATTTTAAATATGGACATGTAATCTGATTTGGTGTTTGACAATTTCTGTAGATTACACTCATAACTACACATTATTATTATTAGTTTTTTTTTTCATTAAATAAACTTGAAGGCATTAACTACAGAAATTATCAAAATGAATTAATGATAATGAGGGCTATCAACTGACTAAAATATTTAGAGTACATTTTCAACAAATTATTTATTGGTTAAAATGTATTTATTTAATTTATTTAACACTTGCCTTCTTGATCAGTTTTTCTTTGTTTCCTGCAGATGCAGAAGATCCCGACTGCAGCTACAATCAACAGAGATCCAGCAGCAGCAGAGATCAGCACTATCAGAGGTATGGAACCTTCTGGAGGGAGTGAAGGAATATGTGCTGTGATGATGAAGAGAAACATTAATGTAAACAATAAACACACATATCAGTGCTGCCATACCTGCACATGTGTGACAGAGTTGACTGATGTCCAGATGTGTGGTCTGGTTGCTGATGGGATTGTTGAGCACACAGCTGTAGGTGTTGTTATCCTGATATTCCACCTCCAGAGGTAGAGAGAGACTGATGCTGAGATCAGACACACTGATGCTGGACAATAAACTGTTTCCTTTGTACCAGGAGAGAGTCACATGACCCACATTCACCACTGAACACACCAGTGAACAATATGATGATGATGATGACGAAGAGCATTGTGAAGAGTTACTGATGATGATAGGAACAGACAGACGAGCTGAAAACATGAGAACATAATGATAAATATGAATAAATTACACAAAAGTCTTTTTGGTTCAATGGGTTGAGTACTTAGTGTGCTGACGAGCATTGAGTTTGTCTGTATGAAAATTTCCTTATGTGAATAATTAATAAAATAAAATATGTGATGGAGAGAAAATGATCTCTACTCACCATAAACGGAAACACTGAATGTCTTTGATGACAGTTTCACTGCAATTATCTCTAATTTATAGAGTCCAGCATGTTCAGTTGTGATGTTTGTGATGGTCAGAGATCCAGTTTTATTGTTCAGCTTCAGTCTGTCTCTGAATCTCCCATCATTATATGTGAAGAAATTTCCAGAGGCTCTATTTATTTGAGCAATCAGAGAGTTTTCAGCTCCAAAATTCCACATTATTACATCATCTTCATGTATTTCAGTAACATCAGTGTGTAGAGTAACAGAATCTCCCTCCGTCACTGACTGGGTTTCATTTGTCTCGGCGTGAAACACACCTGCAGAAACAAACAAGAACAGATGTGTTAACTGTTGGTTTACAAAGCAAGAAATCAATTTGTAACATTTAAAAAGTGAAATAAATAACAGCAGCAGAGCGCAACATAAAACAGAAGGTGACATTTTAACACACGGATGTGTGGATCAAATTTTATCTTTAATGTATTTTAAAATGATCTATTGTAGAGCAAAATAAATGTGTGAAAGTAGCTTGCTACTTTCAAGCTACTTTCACACATTTATTTTGCTCTACAAGTTGAAATATCCAAGATATAATTTATATTTTTATACCAGAATTTTTATTTAATTTTCGTTTGTTAACAATTGCTGCAAAAGTATGTAAAAAAAAATTGATGGTGAGGATTTGCATTTGTAATAATTGAAATTAAGATTTCTAAAACAACAGGAAAGAAAACACAGTAGATTAAAATAATTTAGAGATTATTACTCTGAAAGGTAAATAAATGGCACCATAAAAATGCTCGTGTAACTTACCGATCAGATGACAGCAACACAAACAGAACAAAATAAGCATGTGAATCATTTTTAGTTGCTCAGTGAAAACTCTAATCTAAGACTCTCCGCGGATAACACTCTCGCTGTTTTGAAGCACTCGCAATGCCACACGCTGGTAACGCCTGCTGACAAAAATGAAGTTGCAACTAAAACTCAGGCCAAAATATGCATACAACAGCTTTTATTACCTATATATTGCAAATGTTTTATTGAAAGTAGGCTAATATATCAAATGCAGTAAACAACTCATCAAATACCATAGCTACAGTGTAGAATAGCCTATGTGTCCTTTTATTAATTTGCTTTGTAATTCATGTAGGGCTCGTCTAAACAGACCAAGATTGTATTAACTACACCTCTTCTTTTAATCACACAAATTAAAATACCTACAAATGTATTGAACTGATTCGAGATCAGGTACATAATAGAAACTGGTTCAGAGGCTGTTGGGGAGCGAGTTCAGTGATTCGTGGGTTCACAGAGATCAACGCCCCCAGCGGCGAACCATGAAATTTCGCAACTTTTCGAAACCGTTATGACGAAGCCTCGTTTACTGAAATCACGTGACTGTGGCAGATTGCTATGCACTCCGAAATAAATGATTCGCAAAGGTTTTATGAAGCAGTCATTTGAAAGCACCCATCTTCATTAACTACCAGTCTTAACTGTATAGAGAGAGAGAGAAAAAAAGATGCAATGAATGTGAATGTGACACCGTTTCTATACGGACGCGACAAAGCGGCCGTTGAACATTAATTTGTCCTTTTCTTCAGAAGTAGCGCGAGTGCTTGAAATAGAAAATGCATAAAATTAGTCAGCTTTCGTGTGCACTGTTACATGAGATGTATTGGTATGGATTTCATAGTGTGCACGTGTATTCACGTCTTCAAAACCCCACCAGATGGCGCCATTTATCAGTTATATTAAAATGAAGTTGCAACTAAAACTCAGGCCAAAATATGCATACAACAGCTTTTATTACCAATATATTGCAAATGTTTTATTGAAAGTAGGCTAATATATCAAATGCAGTAAACAACTCATCAAATACCATAGGTACAGTGTAGAATAGCCTATGTGTCCTTTTATTAATTTGCTTTGTAATTCATGTAGGGCTCGTCTAAACAGGCCAAGATTGTATTAACTACACCTCTTCTTTTAATCACACAAATTAAAATACCTACAAACGTATTGAACTGATTCGAGATCAGGTACATAATAGAAACTGGTTCAGAGGCTGTTGGGGAGCGAGTTCAGTGATTCGTGGGTTCACAGAGATCAACGCCCCCAGCGGCGAACCATGAAATTTCGCAACTTTTCGAAACTGTTATGACGAAGCCTCGTTTACTGAAATCACGTGACTGTGGCAGATTGCTATGCACTCCGAAATAAATGATTCGCAAAGGTTTTATGAAGCAGTCATTTGAAAGCACCCATCTTCATTAACTGCCAGTCTTAATTGTATGGAGAAAAACAAAAACAAAAGATGCAATGAATGTAATTGTGACACCGTTTCTATACGTAGCATAGAATAAGCAGCGCGAGTGCTTGAAATAGAAAATGCATAAAATTAGTCAGCTTTCGTGCGGACTGTTACATAAGATGTATTGGTATGGATTTCATAGTGTGCACGTGTATTCACGTCTTCAAAACCCCACCAGATGGCGCCATTTATCAGTTATATTAATATCATACAACTGAGGCCCAAAGTAGAACGGTGTAAATCTAAGTCAACGATATCAGTAAAGTGTAAAACTGATTATCAGTCAGTCTTTTACTAATAATAACCGCCTGTCTTTATCATTAAATATCCAGGGCTGATTTCAGGTGGCATGTGTTGCTGTTCTGCTGGTGACTGTAACTGATGTGATTTACTATCACCACCATCATACTCTACAAAATAAAGAAATAAATAAATAAAAAGAAGAAGAAAAAACAGCACGACAGAATGAAAAGTATTACAAACTGCAGATTTAATAAAATAGAAATATAACATTTTAGTTGGTGAAAGGAACCTTTAAAAGATAAATACATGCATTTTATTATAATTAACTGTAAGCTATGTATAACTCGTTTTTTTTTTAATATAATGTGAACCACTTTGGATAAAAGCGTCTGCCAAAGAAATAAAATGTAAATGAAAATATGTTATTTACTTTTTAGAGTCAAACAGTAAGACTAAAAATGAAAACATATTTTTTTTGTACATAAAAAAATTAAAAAATAATAAAAATCAAAGTATTTTTTGTATATGACAGTATTATTTGAATCTTAGGGTAGTAATCATCTATGGAATGCTTGGAACTCCGTGATTTTTTTTTTTTTTTTTTAAATCTGATCATTTAAGAACAGTCACTAGAAAGTGTAGTTCATTCACTAGAATGAATCAGACTTTCCAAAGCTGTGAAAGAGAGAGAGGTAGCCTACATTTAGGACAAACCGATCGTCTAGAAATTCACTTCTTTGATGTTGTGAAGTTTTGTTTTCTTCAACTGAAAGATCCTCCAGAAGCTGTTGGTTTGTGTTTCAGGTGTTTCAGCTGCTGAACTGAATCAAATGTTGACAAAACCAGTGACTGAGGGAGGATCTGTCACTTTAGATAAGGGTTTAATAATAATAACAACAACAAAAATAATTTCATGACTTATTTTTCAGAATCAGAATCAGAATCAGAATTAGCTTTATTCGCCAGGTGTGCAAACACACAAGGAATTTGTTGTGGTTTTTTAAGGTGCTCCTGGTACATTCATACATGCATACATACATACATACATACATACACATCTGACATGAGACTCCAGGGATCTGTTGAAGATCAATGTGAAGATGGATGATAGCTGGACAGCACAGGCTTTGAGGCAGGCTGGAGAGACACCGTCTGGGCCTTTGGCTTTCCTTATCTTCTGCTTTCTGAAGACTTTGCATACATCCTCTTCACAGATCTTGAGTGCAGGATGAGAAACAGTAGGGGGGGATGGTGAGGGAGGGTGTTGATGGCTGTGCTGTGAAACGGTCAGAGTGGGTGTGGGGTGTCAGACCAGGCTTTTGCTTTTCAAACCTGCAGTAGAACTCGTTCAGGTCTTCAGCCAGTTGTTGATTGGCCTCAGTGCTGGGGGATGGGGTCTTGTAGCGGGTGATGGCTTTCAGGCCTTTCCACACTGATGTAGAGTCATTACTTGAAAGCTGTTTTTTTTAGCTTTTCAGAGTAGTTTAACTTTGCCACTCTTATCTCCCTATTCAGTGTGTATTTGGCCTGTTTGTACAAGTCTTTGTCCCCACTCCTGTATTTTTAATGACATTCATATAGTTGAAATTGCTGGAGATGATCAGTGGAAAGATGCTGATGAGAGATTCAGAGACAGACTGAAGCTGGATCATCAGACTGGATCTCTGACCATCATTAACACCAGAACCACAGACTCTGGAGATTATAAACATGCTGTTATTTTATTTTACTAAGTAACAAAGTGAAAGTCGGGTAAAAATGCCACAGACACACATTGAAGGAGGAGCAGGAGCCATATAGACACCAGAGATGTGTTTCTTAAAAGCATCGTGAGATAAGTTGATCGTAGAGACCGTTCGTGGCAACAGATCTTACGATGTAGCCTAGGCTTACGATGGTTTTGGGAAACGCAGCCCAGAAGATCAGACTTGAGGTGCGACCTTGCTGCGATTTTGTTTTAGCTGCTGTTCCCATTTATCCACCAGATGGCGCCATTTTCCCGTTTAAATCAAAGTAGAAAGAGGTAAATATCAGTCAAAGATACCAATAAAATGATTATGAGTCAATCTATTGGTAATAATGACCGTCTGTCTTTATCATTCAATATCCACAGTCATACAACTCAAGCACAACATGATGACAAGAGAGAAAAATACATGTAGGCCTATCTTATTGTAATTATCTGTAAACTGTTTTAAACACTGTTCTTCAAACAGGCCTCAGCACAGCAGCCAGGCTCTTTAGTGATTTCTCAAATCTGTGATTTTCTGCTTTGGACACTAGAGAGCAATGATGTGTTTGTGCTACATTTGACAACATATTCAGAACATCATACTGTGTGTGTGTGTGTGTGTGTGTGTGTGTGAGATACAGTAATCACTGTGCAATGCAATTGATATCCATTTCAATTTCCTCAAATGAACATATGAAGAATTTCAATATGTTTCTGGATGCTATGATATTGGGGAACCACAAAATGAGAAAATAAATAAAGAAATAAAAGGCTATACACCACAATAACACCAAAAGATTTAATACAAACAGTGAAAACATAAAAGAGAGACAGCCTACCAGAAAAACACAAAGCACTAGTCAGTGTCCATTACTCAGCTCTAACATCAGTTCAAGTAGATACAGTATTTGATCACCGTTTTTTGGGCACATTTTCATACACAGCCTCCGACTTTGATATCTGCAAGGAAACACAAACTCAGTCAGGAATCTGAAACTAGTAATATAATTTTTCTTCAAATTCTCTGGAGTGGAAATTAACTGCAGATCAAGCCCTCTATGTTGAGCAGAAATTTTTTTTTTTATAATTGACTTAATTGAATATTTCTGAATGTCACGATTATTTCACAATGTACAACTGTATAGCATCAACAAAGAAGCACAAGAAGAGCATCTAGAGGAAACTGATGGATTTGATGTGTGTATTTTAATCTGGACAATATCTATTAGTTAGTGTTGCTTATCTGCGGACGGATCAGTGTTTGCCCCTCTATTGTCACCACTAGCACTTAACTCTGTTGCAATGCTGTCCCTTATCGGTGAAAATCTGTAACTCATTCAAATGAATGACGTCCAATCACTTCACTGATAATCACTATGAAGACAAGTTTCTCATCAAGTCTTTTCAACCACAGCAAACACATAAGTCTCTCATTTTATCTCACGATGGATAAAATCATGTATGACCATAGTGTTTTATCTCATAGTAATGTGTATGACCAAAGTAAAATAATAAATTAATTACTTAAAAAGGGAAAGAAAACTCGTTGTGGTAGGCAGAATGTTGGGGACTGACAATCACCTTATGTTAAAAAGATGCATTGAATGTGAATGGACATGACAGAGGAACTTTCTGTTAATACATTTAAATTCATGCAAATTAACTTTTTTAGGTCTGCATAAATGAAAATAGCCCTGCAAAATGGATTTACTGTATATTAATATTTACAATAAGGTGCAAACAGTAAACGCACTTAATGTAAACTGGTTAAAACATGCTTAAAACTGCTCAAACCCACATCTGTTCACTGACCTTCTGATGCACGTTACACACAAAACTTCTAACAGCTGCTTCAATCACACTAACAGACCGCATCACATCTTCTTGCAACACAGTCATGAATGATTTTACCTTTTTTCGTGTTGTTGGTTTTCTCAACACTGAATCAGTTCTGTCTTCATTCCAGGTCTCAGCTGCATTATAGCATTGAAAAACAACAAAGATTGCGTACTTATATAGTAATATGTATATCTGATTCAAATGAACTGATGGTAGTTAATATTTGTTGCTCAATTGAATTCCTGACCTGTTTTTCTACATTTCCTGCAGATGCAGCACATCATGACTGCAGCTACAATCAATGATCCAGCAGCAGAAATCAACACTATGTAAAATAAGGGTAGGCCTTGATCTGTAATGGACAAAATAATTCTGTCAGTCTGATCTCAAACAAGACTGAGACCTCAGTGATCGTTTTTTTAAAAATGAAAAACAGAGATCAGCTCGGTAAATAATCATTAACATCACTGCTGACTTACCTTGACAGAGTTGACTGATGTCCAGATGTTGAGTCTGGTTAGTGAATGAATTGTTGAGCACACAGATGTAGGTGTTTTTCTCCTGATATTCCACCTCCAGAGGTAGAGAGAGACTGATGCTGAGATCAGACACACTGATGCTGGACAATAAACTGTTTCCTTTGTACCAGGAGAGAGTCACATGACCCACATTCACCACTGAACACACCAATGAACAATTCTGCTGTGATGATGATGATGATGACGATGATGATGATGATGATGAAAGATTTTGAGAAAAATCTCTGCTAATGTTAGGAGTGGGCAGACGAGCTGAAAAATGTGAGAGAATAGACAGAAAATAAATTTGAACAACACTATTTTCGGTGTAGTATGTTCACAGTCAGTGAGTGTTTCTGTGATCTCAAACTATAAAATGATTAAACGTTTCAGTATGTAAATAGCTAAAGGAATATTCAGTACAGCTCAATCTTAAGCATCTGAGGTCTAATGCTTATTAAAACCACAAACATTTATTTTCAGAATATAAAAGCAAAAATGTTTGACATAAACTTACAGTGTCAGTAAATGTGTCCTATCCATAAATGTGAAATGCTCAAAGTTTTAATAGTGCATCTGCGATACTTAAACAATTTTCATGCTATCATGATTTTAGTCTGAAAAATCACTTAACTAACCTACTTAACTAACCTTTTCTGTGTAAAGTCAAGTTGACCATAAAATACTAAAACGACTGTAAAAATGCTTTAAAGGGGACATTGGATGCCCATTTTCCACAAGTTGGTATGATTCTTTAGGGTCTTCATGAAATGTCTGTAACATACTTTGGTTAAAAACCACCCTGTTTAAAACAGCTCTGTTCACAGCAGCCTGTTTTGGTGCATGTCTCTTTAAATCAGGGGTGTCAAACTCAGTTCCTGGAGGGCCGGAGCCCTGCACAGTTTAGCTCCAACCCTAATTAAACACACCTGATCCAGATAATTAAGTCCTTCAGGCTTATTTAAAAACGACATGGTACTTGTGTTGGAGCAGGGTTGGAACAAAACTCTGCAGGGCTGCGGCCCTCCAGGAACTGAGTTTGACACCCCTGCTTTAAATGATAACTAGCTACTGTTTGCCCCACCCCTCTCTACTGTGGCCTGTGTTGACCAGTCTATGGGCGAATTCCAAAAGGAAGTGAGTATGCCTATGCCCTACTCCCTTCGAATTGTGTTCTTTGAAGGGTGTAGGGCATTACTGTCTTGTTTAAGCATATGGAACTCCCTTGGCCAAGGGAATGACTGACCAAATGTTACCTTGACAACTCTGCGCGTGCGTACAGCATTCAGCGCTCCATCAGCTGTTGCAAATAAATATTTCTTATTATTTTTATTTTATTCAAATATTATCTAATTGTGTCTTATTACTATTAAACTTTTTTAAGCTAAACTTGCTTAAACCTGCTTTAACTACCATCTTAATTCATATTTATATCACTGACGAAAAATGTTTTGTATTACATTAAAATAAAGACAGTTTTAATTAGCCTATTCTACTTACGTTTGTATGTGAAGTCGAAATCAACTACAACTTTGCTTTAAAAGCAAGATCTCCTAACCGAAGATCACATGATCACAAACGGAAATCACTTCCGTGAAGTGACCATCGTATGTTCTCTTTGCTAACGGACTTCTGGAAGGGCCCTTTGTGAAGGGATTCAGTTGTTCACTTTCGTTTGGTACGTCCCTACAAATGGCGTCTCATTCCTGAAGTGTCCATCAAGGGCGCAAAAAAGCCATTTGGAATTTGCCCTATGGTGTTGAAACAAGACAAGTGAACAGATTCTGTATATGGCTCTGAGGAGTTCTTATTTAAATAGCTAGCTATCTACATAGAAACCGGCTGCAAATTGAAACATCTCTCTGAATGACAGTGTTTCAGACTCAGACAGCCCATAACGAACTGGCTGTGTGCTTTCTTTTCAGCTTTTCTGCTAAATTTAAAAAAAAAGTAGCCTAACAAAGTGAAAATTTCATTTGATGTGTGTTTAATTAAAAAAAAAGTTTCTTTAAAACAATTTAAACATTTTGACAGTTTTAACAGAAGAATTAATTTTAATGAAATGTTTGAATTAAATCCGCTTGTTAAGTCTGACATCATGTGTCATTGCTTCTGGGTCAAAAACCTCTGTCAGATGCCACAAATGGTGCTAATATGCACTCACAATGTAATGTAATGCCATGGCCTACTATTTAAAATCATTATCGTAACCTTTGTCTCCATACCAAAATTCCAGATGACCAGACAGTGACTCATCTTTTGTAAATCGTTAAAATATTCAGGTCTGGGACACTGTGAGAATGCTTAACTTAAATGTGTGATATGAATAAATAGTGCTCATAAACGGCTGTTGAGATAGTATTTTCAAGTGAAACAAGTAGAGACTTAGACCTGGAAACAGTATTTTTTGCATCACAACTTTACAAGCGGACTACATGTAACCTTCACAGTGTCAGCTTTTTAATAATTAAAAAGTTGACCCTGTTAACTACCATGTAAGTGCCTCGCCATAATCTTGAATTTTTTTTTTAAGAAAACAAGGGACATCTCAATTATTTTTGTAATCAACCTTATGCCACAAGTGCTGTCAAATAAGCAAGAATTATATTAAACCCAATATATATATATTTTTTTTAATAAAACAAGATTATCTACTCACCATAGACGGAAACACTGAATGTTTTTGATGACAACTTATCTCCACTTATCTGTAGTTTATAGTGTCCAGCATGTTCAATTATGACGTCTGTGATGGTCAGAGATCCAGTCTGATTGTCCAGCTTCAGTCTGTTTCTGAATCTCCCATCAAGAACATCAAATGTGGAGAAGATTTGGTCCTCTCTACTGATTTCAGCTATGAGAGAGTCTTCAGCTCCAAATTTCCACAGGACGTCATCGTCTTCATGTATTTCAGTAACATCAGAGTTTAGAGTGACAGAATCTCCCTCCATTACTGACACTGACTCACCAAACACACCTGAGGAACAAACTAGAACAGATTTCACACGTTTGTTGGTTTACAAAGCCTGAAGTCAGTTCTTGTTTCTAAATGTGAACTGAGGAATGTCTCAAATGGCAACAGAAAAGCAAAAGGAAACGCATTGGCAACAGATTAAAGATTGTTGTGTAAACTAATAATTCAGTCTTTAAGGTGTTATCTGCCTGTAACTTCACATTTATTTTGCAGCCGAGTGAAATGAGTGAAAGTAATTCTGGATATTTCCAGAAGTTTCACTTTAAATCAGGATCACTGAGAGGCAGACCTGAATCTAGAGTAGGCCTCACAATATTATCTGTTTTATTTGATTAATCTAGGTAGAAAAGTCAAATGCAAATCCTCTAACTATCAGGTTTATTACCCTGAAACTGAAAGAAATTAAATTGCTTTTGTAACTTACCAATCAGACGCCACCAGTACAAGCAGAGCAAAACAAGCATGTGAAACATCTTCCTCAGTAGTTCAGGGTCTGATGTAATGAGACCATCTGCTGAAAAAAACTCAAGCTGTTCGTCTGCTTTATGAATCCTCCCACAGCAGAGTTTGACCCACCTAATGTACACGCACACACTCTGCATATGCTGTATAGTCTATAGTTACATATAAATCTTGCTCTTATTAAGACTTCTAACATTCTTAATTTTTATAATTTAACATTGATGCTTTTAAAAGGAACCGTATCTGTAACAGTAGAAGAGTAGAATATTGTGTGATTATTGGAATAGTCAATCTAAATTTAATGGTAAATAAACTTATGGATTTTAAAATAATTTTATAATCATTCAATTGATGTGAGTTGCAAAACAAAATTAAAAACTGTGTATCATCTCACATTGTTAGTCTTACTGCTGTGTGTGACACGAGCAGATCATCATCTGAGTCAAACTGAAACCTGCTGTGGTCTGATTTCTACAGAAACGCCATTTGATCTCTCTGTGGACACATAGTTTTATAGCTGAGAATGACCATTTGTTTCATGTTTGTGTTTAGTTTGAAGGTGAGGGGCTTCTTCCTGTCATTATGTTATGAACCACAGAGTCCTTCCTGTCTAGATAAAACTGCTTTACAAATAAATTACTTAATCAATCCATCAAAACTGATGTATGAAACACAGTTGAAGATGATTCACAGGTCGGAGGTGTTTTATACTTCTATAACTGTGTTATACTTTTAACTGGGTCAGATCTGTTTTGTGGTCTGCATCATGACCACACCTGAACATCTGATGCATAAAGCACACAAAACGGGAAACACTTCAGGAGTTTCACAGTCGTCATCCGATTTGTTGAATTTTACAGGATTTCCAGGAGAAATGTGTCGTGTTCTTTAATGCTCTGCCTGACAAACAAAGCCATTGTGATGCCAAACTACCTCATGGAAGAAGAAAGCCGTCATGTTTACAACTGTGAAAATGAGCACTTATCAAGATCCACTAAACACTGGATTTTCAAAAGTATGTTAAGTTCATGGTATAGACTCTACGCTATAGTTTCAGTAAACTTGCACACCATTTTGAGCTGTGCGCTAGGACATGTGCATTGGCTAATCTAGCCTAAAAAATAAGCTATTTTATGCTATTTGAGCATGAGGAACAGCATTTATGAGACAGTTGTTGTCAAATTTCATTGGTGATTTCAAATATGAAATGTAATCGTAAGCTTGGTAAACAGTTTTGGAGAATCTGATGTTTCCTCATTCAAAGAGATAGGAGCTGCACTTGCATGCCCAAGAGGCCTTTCAAAGATGGCTGCCAAGTGAAATGACTTGCCTTAAAGGGACTTTGGTTTAGTTCTCATCCAATAGTGTCTGTGCAATCAAGTAATATTGCCAAATAACACACAATTATTAAGTGCCCCCAACTAAGCAAGGCAGGATGGATCCGTGCTTCTGTGTTTTTTTACACCAAATTCTGACCATACCATCTGAATGTCACAACAGAAATTGAGACTCTCAGACAAGGCAACCTTTTTTCCAGTCTTCTAATGTCCAATTTTGGTGCGCCTGTGCAGATTGTAACCTTAGTTTCTGTTCTTAACTGACATGAGTGGCAGTATGGTCGTCTTCTGCTGTAGCTCGTCTGCTTCAAGGTTAAACGTGTTGAACATTCAGAGATGCTCTTCTGCATATCTCAGTTGTAACGAGTGGCTCTTTGATTAGATATTTGCTTTACTGAGCAGCAGAATAAGAGCACCTAATAAAGTGGCAGGTGAGTGTAGTAAGTGCAGTGTATAGTATGTCATTTGGGACATAACTCAGTCAGGTTTTGTTCAATCTGTTCTGCTTATTCTGTGGTTATTATAGCACTTTTTTGATTAATTAAATGCAATTTTATTTACATTTAATTAACTATATATTTATTACCCCAGGGCTGTTGAGTTAGAGAAAACCCCTTATGAAGCCCTGACTGGAAAAGTTCAACAACAGCGCCATCTGCTGCAGTGACTCCGCTGTGGAGTCCCATAATTGAAATAAGGTGAAATAAGGTCCCTTCCTTCCCGGATAAGCGCAGACGGACAAGTTCGACAGTTCTGCGCAGTTCTGTCTCAATAATATTCCCGCGAAACGCGGACGGTGTTCTGAAATACATAATATTCGCATTTCCGAGATAGCCTATTTGGTGTCACTGGGCGGAGTAAACATTAATATTCATGAGTTTTCTGTTTCGTGTTAAAGCGACTCTGAAAATATTAGTGCGTTTTCACCGGATCCCAAAGACTTTTCAACAAGGTATTATGTTTCAGCTTCGAACTCAGTGAATATAATCGTTCGTTTGTGCACAAAATGTTATAATTTGTTTCCTGTGTTATGTTTATTCAATGAGCAGCCACTGATTCGCCAGAGGTATTGTTATGTTATTGTTATATGGAATATGATGACTAAAGTATATGGGAAATAACTAGAACCAGAAGATGGTAGTAATACACCGTTAAGGATGCAAGCTGCCGTTAAACCCCAAAGAAGAAGAAGATAAGCAGAATGACTCCGACTGTAATTTGCTCAGATTCTTCATCAGCTCTTAAAAGTATATTGTCGACAAAAACTGATAGAGAAGAGCTGCTAGTAGAAATGTATACATTACTGTACAGACTGAAAATAGAGGGTATAATCGTATACTTTTGTTGGGTACCGGCACATATTGGGATAGTAGGGAATGAAACAGCGGATAAGTTAGCAAAAGAAGCTTTAAAGAAAAACTTGGTGGATGTTAAGGTACCTCTGGGAAGGAATGAGATAAAATCAGTAATTAATAGGGAAATAATAAGAATATGGCAACAAAGATGGGAAAATAGCAGCACAGGTAGGTGGTATTATAATATTGTAAAATCAGTAGGGAAAAAAGAACAGTTTTATGGAAGACACCGAAAGGAAGAAGTAATGATTTCTAGATTAAGGATGGGTCACACAGGACTAAATTCAACACTTGCATTAATGGGGAAGCATGAAAATGGTATGTGTGATGAATGTGGTGTTTTTGAAACAGTAGAGCATGTGCTCTTTAAATGTAGTAAATATGAAGATCAGCGTAACAGTCTTTTTAGCAATATAAGGAACAGGCCAGTGAGTGTCGTGGACCTTCTGGGAAAGGGTTTGAGTGAAAGTCAGATGTTTAAGGTGGTTTTAACATTTTTAGAGCTCACAGGATTTAGTGTTTGAGGATGAGGATCATGATGCTTCTGCCCATCTCGGAGGTTGAGGAGCCCAGTGTGGAAGCTGGAGGAGCTGAACACGCAGCGCCAGCTGAAGCTTGATCCTCTGGGGTGGGTGGGGCATTACAATTTTTTTATTTTTTATTGATAGCAATACAGATTTATCACCAATGTGCGCAAGATATACAGTAGGTGGCGGTAATACTCCTAAGGAGTGAACGGCCATTGAACAAGAAGAAGAAGAAGAAGAAGATAAGCAGAATGGCGCCAAAACAAGTAAGGTAAATGAAACTGAATCTGCTGCCATATTTTCGTTGTAAAAATGAAGCTTCGATTTATTTTGATCTCAGTGTTCTTGTTTTTATTCGTACATGGTAAGATATTCTGTTACGATCTCTTTTCTAGTCAACCATTACTACGAACGACGAACGGTACGAAATTATTTCGTAGGAGCTTTTATCCGCATGGATAGTTTCTCACGCGTGCTCACGGCTGTAAGAGCCACTGCATCATTCAGTAAATGTTGAAATCTTTTAAATCAGTAACGTATATAAACTGATAATTTGAGTCGAATTGAATAAAAGCTTATGCCAAATTTATTTTGTGAATGAACTTCAAACAAAAAGTAGTATTTTTTGTTATTGTATCAGAATCAGAATCAGAAGAGCTTTATTACCAAGTATGTTTACACACAAGGAATTTGACTTGACGACAGGAGCTTCCAGTGCAGAAGAAAGTACAAACATAGTGCAGACATACATAGGAATAACACAGTAGGGATGCAATATAACACTAATGTAATAAAAATAAAATTAAAAAAAATTTAATAATGTACTATATACAGAAATAGAAGTATAGGAAAAAATGTAATTGTTTAGATAAATGTACATATATGTTTATTAGTGTGCAGATATGTTATTTACAAAGTGTGCAGTTTAATATAAATATAACTGTTAGTTGTGATGGGTGATGTATAATTATGAAAGATTAATTGTTCAGGCTGAATATAGCCTGTGGGGAAAAAGTAATACTACTTCGAAAACAGTATACCCACTGTTTTCGAAGTAGTATTTAAAATAAACTTAAAATAGTATTTAAAATAAAAGAAAACATTAGGTTGCATAAATGTACAATTATTTGTTCACGGAAAACAGCTATGAGTCAGGATGTGGGTTATATGATGTTCATTAAGTTGTTGAAGATCATTCATGAGACTCATGTAGGGTAGAGTGAAAAACTACTATTTTCCCCAAAATAACCACAAGATAAAGTCAAGATATAATTTTTTTTTATTGCAACTATAGTCTACGTTGACAAGATTGATGTCAAAAATTTCACCATGAAGCTTACACTGGTGATATACCTGAGAGAAAACGGATTTCACAGTAAATTATCTAATTTTTGAAAATTTAATTTTTGTTTATATGAAAACTATGGATATTTGTCATACTTGGTTTATAATTGATGTCATTGTCACTAAAACTATGATAACTTTTCTGAACACATTTAACTTTTGTTTCACAGAAAGAAATTACACAGTCCTTAAGGGGGTGTGTTCCCCCACTCTACCCTATGTTTGATGAGTGAATGTGTGAATCAATGATGTTGTTCTGCTGTTTGTTTGCATGTGTTACATTATGAATCCAGCCATTTACAAACATTTAGGGCATTACAATTTTTTTATTTTTTATTGATAGCAATACAGATTTATCACCAATGTGCGCAAGATATACAGTAGGTGGCGGTAATACTCCTAAGGAGTGAACGGCCATTGAACAAGAAGAAGAAGAAGAAGAAGATAAGCAGAATGGCGCCAAAACAAGTAAGGTAAATGAAACTGAATCTGCTGCCATATTTTCGTTGTAAAAATGAAGCTTCGATTTATTTTGATCTCAGTGTTCTTGTTTTTATTCGTACATGGTAAGATATTCTGTTACGATCTCTTTTCTAGTCAACCATTACTACGAACGACGAACGGTACGAAATTATTTCGTAGGAGCTTTTATCCGCATGGATAGTTTCTCACGCGTGCTCACGGCTGTAAGAGCCACTGCATCATTCAGTAAATGTTGAAATCTTTTAAATCAGTAACGTATATAAACTGATAATTTGAGTCGAATTGAATAAAAGCTTATGCCAAATTTATTTTGTGAATGAACTTCAAACAAAAAGTAGTATTTTTTGTTATTGTATCAGAATCAGAATCAGAAGAGCTTTATTACCAAGTATGTTTACACACAAGGAATTTGACTTGACGACAGGAGCTTCCAGTGTAGAAGAAAGTACAAACATAGTGCAGACATACATGATAGTGCAGACATACATAGGAATAACACAGTAGGGATGTAATATAAAACTAATATAAAAAATAAAAAAAATTTAATAATGTACTATATACAGAAATAGAAGTATAGGAACATTTTTATTGTTTAGATAAATGTACAGATATGTTTATTAGTGTGCAGATATGTTATTTACAAAGTGTGCAGTTTAATATAAATATAACTGTTAGTTGTGATGGGTGATGTATAATTATGAAAGATTAATTGTTCAGGCTGAATATAGCCTGTGGGGAAAAAGTAATACTACTTCGAAAACAGTATACCCACTGTTTTCGAAGTAGTATTTAAAATAAACTTAAAATAGTATTTAAAATAAAAGAAAACATTAGGTTGCATAAATGTACAATTATTTGTTCACGGAAAACAGCTATGAGTCAGGATGTGGGTTATATGATGTTCATTAAGTTGTTGAAGATCATTCATGAGACTCATGTAGGGTAGAGTGAAAAACTACTATTTTCCCCAAAATAACCACAAGATAAAGTCAAGATATAATTTTTTTTTATTGCAACTATAGTCTACGTTGACAAGATTGATGTCAAAAATTTCACCATGAAGCTTACACTGGTGATATACCTGAGAGAAAACGGATTTCACAGTAAATTATCTAATTTTTGAAAATTTAATTTTTGTTTATATGAAAACTATGGATATTTGTCATACTTGGTTTATAATTGATGTCATTGTCACTAAAACTATGATAACTTTTCTGAACACATTTAACTTTTGTTTCACAGAAAGAAATTACACAGTCCTTAAGGGGGTGTGTTCCCCCACTCTACCCTATGTTTGATGAGTGAATGTGTGAATCAATGATGTTGTTCTGCTGTTTGTTTGCATGTGTTACATTATGAATCCAGCCATTTACAAACAAACATTATATATATATATATATTTATCAGTCTGGCGAGTAAACTAAAAAAATTACTAG